CTTTATTATAGATTTCAATCTTACAAATTGTTGGGCATTCTGAAAAAAGGATTTTTACCTATTAAATGTAAAGCTAAAGTGGTTAAATTAATGGAATTTTGTTTCCAAGACAAGCAGTGATTCAGTGATTTTTCTAACTCCAACAAGTAATATTACCCTTGTCATAGCATTTTCGTCAAGCCTCGGGCCAAGACTCAGTTTTATTCAATTGTCAAATAAAAAAACAAACAAATTTACCTCTTCTAAGTATTGGGGATTAGTATTGAGCTTTCTAATCATTCTAATAATTACAGGATCTTTGGAGCTTTGCTCATATAGATTTATATAGTATAGGCCTACTATGCAGCATGTAATTTTTTTGTTTTAATCCTAGATTTTTGTCAATGAATCATCAATGATTGGGTACATACTCACAGAGGCGTAGCAATGGGGACAGATGTCCCCAGCGCAAGCTAGTTAGGGGCGCCAAAATGTGCTTTGACATTATATTATTGGTAAAAATTTTACTAAAAATAATGGGTTTGATAGTTGAAAAAAAGAAAAGGGAGCGCTTTACAATGGACCTTGTCCCTGGGCGCGAATCTTGTCCCCCGGGCGCCAACACCCTCGCTACGCCTCTGCATACTCATACAAGGTTGTAATCCAATGCCAATTAGACTAAGTGAATACAGGCTGTCTAATAATAAGCTTAAATCATAAATGACTCAGCTCAGTATATTAATTTAAGATTTTGAGACTTATTAGACTAAGTGAATACAGGCTGTCTAACAATAAGCTTAAATCATAAATGACTCAGCTCAGTATATTAATTTAAGACTTTTAGACTTATATTTATAATTTCTTTATATTATATATATTAATTATATAAATCTAATTCTTTCTGTAAAATGTCAGTCCAATTATTAATTAAGCCAGTTTCAGTTTGGGTTGACTTGACTTGCCATAAGTAGAACTATGACTGAGTACTTTTACTACGGACAGTGGCCCGTAGCATGTCATCACAAGACTGACATCTGTCTTCTTACTTACACTTACACTCTTTGTCATTGTCAAAGTCTTTGTCGTCTTATTTAGGCCTAATTAATAACCTGTAATTTGTAATAATTTCGGTTTAAGGCAAGCAAGGTACGAGGAACTGATATCTGTTATTTATTATTTTAAAATAAAAATATTAACCTTTTTGTTCCCCTCGTGTTACGTGTAGACCTATACTATATAGCACCTAAATGATAACAGTAGTAAAAGGTTTGTCGCTGAGCGGCTGACTGTGGACCACTGTGGTGGAGAAAAGACACGAACGCCGGCACATCAGCTGTTGTGTGTTCACTCATCCCGCCCTGTTCCCTTTTCATCGTAAGTTCAGGACAAGGGTAAAGGTGATAGGTTATACTTTACCAGATGCACGGTGACCTTTAATATTTAAATGCCCAATGTCAATAATGGTTTTCATCATATTATATGGCATGGGACATAGTTGAATGATAAGACAATGTATTTACTTTTGAATCAAAAATTCACATTTTAAAGTAAACTAACTTGATACAAAACAGAACTAATCTAATATTAAATGAGTAAAACAAAGGAGGGTTAAACCTGAAAAAAGGGACGCAACAAAACAACGAACGTGTCGGCAGGAAGCCTTCGTTAGCGAACAAAACAACAGAGAAAAAAAAAACAGAATAAAATTTTAAAAAATAGCACTTAGCTTAGAAGTAGTATCCGTGGGCAGCAAATGATTTGATAATTTTGTTGCGTTCCTTTTTTCAGGTTTAACCCCACTTTTTTTTACTCATTTTATATTTTGCTAACCTGATCTCAGTCTCTCCCCTTATCACCCTAGTCAAATATATTGTAATATTCCCCTGGACTTTCTCTCCAAGTTAAATTTAGATTAAAAATAATGAAATGTAACAATAAATAAAGACTAGGCTGACTAGGCCTAATTATAACTTCTGACCGAATGAATAGATTGATCATTGAATTTTCGAATCAATGAACAATTTTGACTTAATTTGTGTATGTTTATTTGGTTTATTTTTTTTTTCCCTTTTGTATTATTAATCTAAATAGATGCCTAAATTTTTAACAATTTCATTTTAAATCAATAATAATAATGTGCTATACGTTAGACATAGTCATGGGCGCCCGCAGAAAACTTTCTGGGGGGGGGGG